TCCAAGATTCCTTCATCATCCTGCTGAGGTTGTAGTCATTCAAGATTCCTTCATCATCCTGCTGAGGTTGTAGTCATCCAAGATTCCTTCATCATCCTGCTGAGGTTGTAGTCATCCAAGATTCCTTCATCATCCTGCTGAGGTTGTAGTCATCCAAGATTCCTTCATCATCCTGCTGAGGTTGTAGTCATCCAAGATTCCTTCATCATCCTGCTTGTAGTCATCCAAGATTCCTTCATCATCCTGCTTGTAGTCATCCAAGATTCCTTCATCATCCTGCTGAGGTTGTAGTCATTCAAGATTCCTTCATCATCCTGCTGAGGTTGTAGTCATCCAAGATTCCTTCATCATCCTGCTGAGGTTGTAGTCATCCAAGATTCCTTCATCATCCTGCTGAGGTTGTAGTCATCCAAGATTCCTTCATCATCCTGCTGAGGTTGTAGTCATCCAAGATTCCTTCATCATCCTGCTGAGGTTGTAGTCATCCAAGATTCCTTCATCATCCTGCTGAGGTTGTAGTCATCCAAGATTCCTTCATCATCCTGCTGAGGTTGTAGTCATCCAAGATTCCTTCATCATCCTGCTGAGGTTGTAGTCATCCAAGATTCCTTCATCATCCTGCTGAGGTTGTAGTCATCCAAGATTCCTTCATCATCCTGCTGAGGTTGTAGTCATCCAAGATTCCTTCATCATCCTGTTGAGGTTGTAATCGTCCAAGATTCCTTCATCATCCTGCTGAGATAGTAATCGTCCAAGATTCCTTCATCATCTATTTGGAGTAGCAATCATTTCTGGATGGCATCTTTAAGCCCATCTCTAACAACTATCCATTACCTCTCCAAATGGCATCTTTAAGCCCATTCCTCCGATCATTGCATCGCCGAGTGCAAATTTCTGGGCACTCTAGTGTCCAATCATCTTCCACCTTCGAGTCACGAATGGTAAAACTCGCCAATCTAACTCTTCAGGTTTAAGAAGATTGAACAGGGGCAGCTGTTGTACCCCAAAATTTGCCCTCTCATTCTTCAAGGCCTTTCTCACAAGGATTCTCAAGGTTCAAGCTTGCACAAGTACTTTGGAATTTTTCAGTACCAAAATCAAAAGGAAACTGTCAAAAAGGGAGAAAACAGATAAAAATAATATTTTGACAAATTTGGAGGAAAATAGATCTCCTTCGATTCAGCACCCTTCGATTGACTCTTGGCCTCCTTCGAATGCAACTTGGATTACATCCTTCGTTTTGAGCAAGAGCCTCCTTCGAATGCAACTTGGGCATGTCCTTCATTTTGAACTTAAAGCCTCCTTTGAGTGCAAGTTTAGGTACATCCTTCGTTTGGATTGGAAACATCCTTCGAATGCAACTTGGATATGTCCTTCATGTCGAACTTAAAGCCTCCTTCGAGTGCAAGTTTAGAAACACCCTTCGATTCAGAAGCCAGGAACTTCCCTCACGCTAAAAGGCAACGACTCCCTTTATGTTTGTTTCGACCCAAGCTTCGATTGGGCAATATGCTTCCTTCGAGCATGAGCTTTCGATTTGGCAATATGTTTTCTTCGACACAAGCTTCGACTGGGCATTAGCTTGTTTCGACCACAAGGCTTCGATAAAACATTGACTACATTTGTACTAGCTTCGACTGGACAACATTTCTCTTTAGTCTGCTGCATTTCCATCCTTGACAAACTACAACACATGGTTGATGGCTCCTTCAAAAGACATATAGTGATGGACTTGAGGGGCATACATATGAGTCCCTGTCGAAGGGTACGCCTGACTAGTCCATTCGAAGGACACATTTGGCCCTTTTCAAAGAAGCATACATGATCCATTCAAGGGACACGTCTCGGAATCCCATTCGAAGAACATGCTTGAGGGCCCATTCGAAGGATTTACAAAGCCCCACCTTAAGAGACATTTGGCCCCTTCAAACGATGCACAAAGGTGATTCGTTCGAAGGACACTTGTTGGAGGAAAGTCGAACATTATGTTTGGAAGAAGAATCTGGTCGAAGATGGGTCAAAATGAAAGGATTCAAAGATGCTTGCTGCCAAGTTCAGGCATGTTACACTGGCCAAAACTGCTGCACAGCAGTCTTAAAACACTGCCCCATTCTTGCACCAAAACAGCATACAACCACTGTCCCTCGAAGGCTACAAAGAGCAGTTTACTCAAATTGTTCAAATTATTTTATTTTCCCTCCAAAAACTTCAGCCAACTTTGCCTATAAATAAGAGGCTCCAACACATGTTTAAGGAGGATCTTTGGACCAGAGGAACGAATCTCCCAAATTTTCTCAAACACAACAAAACTTCTCAAGTTCATCAACACTTGAGAAATCAAAACCCAGAATCCCAAACACTCACCTCTTTCGATTCTGAAGAACACCCCACACATAGAAGTTTGTTCAAACTCAAAGACAACCTTCTGTGACAACTCTTCGAACCAAAAGCAAACCCCCTGTGACTACTCTTCGAATTCCAGAAACGTCCAGGTAGCAGTTCAAGTTCGAATCCCACATCCATTCAAGGCCTGAAGCAAGGTAAGTTATTCTTACCTTTGAACTTTTCGTTTCATGGCATAGTAATTTTCCCTTTCGTTTGAAACATGTACATACCATTGTTCCTTTCGTTTCCACCCTTTTAACATATTTTTCAGAGCTAACCCTTTCGTTTTGCTTTCTATTTACCTGAACTTGCTTTAACTGTTAAACTGTTTACAAGACAAATACTAGCATGGCCTCAGGCCATGTTTCCATTTAATGCTTTAAATGAAAGAAAACAGGAAACAGGAAATAGGAAACGAAGCTTCTGGCTTCTACCCTCTTTCTCCAGGTCAAGCGAAAGAGACAACCAGGACGATAAACATGCCTTCACTAATTCCAGGCTCAGTCGAAAGGCATTCCCTTACTGCTTTCGACCTCCAGTCGAAGAAGACAACAAGGCAGAACCAGAAGGCTTCGCCATACACTGACTTCCAGGCCAATCGAAGGCCAGGACCTCACTGGTGCTAGTCCCAATCGAAGGAGGCCAGCAGAATGCAAATCGAAGGGTGCCACTGCCTGGATCGAAAGACACTCATTTTTCTTACTTTTATCTTATTTTTTCCTTCATATTTTTTATGCCTTTCGATATGGTTGTAATAGCTTAGGATTTTATCTTTCTGCATTTTATTTACTTTGTACAAATGCTAGTAATTAGGTGTGTATGGCAAGATAACATCAACAAGTAGACAACCTCTAATCAAAGACTAAATGCATGCAATAAAACACACTTTGCACACATGCACCCTTAGGGTAATCTCGCTTGTTGCCTCGGAAAATGCAATCATGTCCATCGAGTATGAGACACTCTAACAAATGTCCCTTTGATAAACAAAGATCGTAGTCCCTCGATGACCCTCGATGTTGCCTTCGATAAAACGATCTCGTCCCTTACAAAATTGCTAGAGCGTCTCACAAGTTGCCTTTAATGATTGTATACGATGACCCGCGCCTGTCCCGTTTAAGCATCCTAACGCAAGGTTGTTCATCAAACACAATGGTGAAATAACACTGTTAAAAGGGTCAAAAACATAAGAAAAATCTTTGAGTAAAATAGGGTAGACAACTCTTAGTTACTTGATCAAACTTGCAAAATATCCTTGCCATTTTTCAAACACACTCCACAACACAATTCCAAAAACAACTTTCAAAACATTTTTCAAAACCACACACACAAAACACCATTTCAAGCAATTGAAAAGCAAAGGCAAGTGATCTAAAATAAGTAACTAAGAGCCCATGGATAACCATGGATGAAAAGGGTGCTAGCACCTTCCCTTTTCATAATCTACCCCCCGAACCTACGAAAATATCCCAAAGGTCTTTCCTGTGCTTTTTGACCTTTCCTTAGGATAAAATAAAAAGTCGGTGGCGACTCTTGCTAAACCGAACAAGTGCGAATACAAAACGCAAAATCCCAAGTCAGTTCTCCCACCGTATCACACGCTCATCCAACAATTTCAACAATTGTTTCATTTCAGAACTTAGACCCATTATCGTATTGTTGTTTTTGTGCCGAATAGTTGCTTAATATTTGACACCACCAGGTCTTTTTTATTTTCCAAATTTCAAGTATATTTTTAGGCTGAACTATGTTCATCATCATCTCAACAACAATTTTCTTCTCATCATAATCTAAACGACTAACAATAAGATGATTGACTAACTTGTTATCCAATCCATGTGTTATACACACTGGACATCATATTAAATTTCCAAATATTTTTTATTATGTGGTACCCATGCAACTTAAAATGACATCCACATTTCTTGTTATAGTGTCATCATGTTTCAACTTCTGAACACATTCTTTATACTCACCACTTTCTTTCACATCACATCAGACTCTGTACAATGAGGGTGTTAAAAAATTACTCAATGATTGAATAGGTACAATGAGGTGTTGAATAAAGGATTAAAAGTGAAGTGGATTAATATGTGTTGAAAACATTCAACATGTTGAATGAGGAGGAAGTGATACCACATATAATACTTTACAAAATCTTATTGGTTGTTGTGATTGTTTAGATTTTTAATTCACCTTGATTATTTGGAATTAATTAATTTATAATAAATCAATTTTTTATTTTTTTTTTATTTTCACTAAAATTCATCATTTTTTTATAAATAGAGATTTGATTTGGACACACAAAAAAAACTCATTTTTTCTCTATTTTTTCTTTTTAACCTCTAATAAACTCTTATTTTATCCATTTTTATTTGTTTTAATAAACTATTTGTTTTGACTTAAAATTAAGTCCATATCATTAGTGTGACTTGAATTTCATCGTCGTGGTATCGTAACTTTACCCCACAGCCACACATCACGACTCCACTACTACCAATCTCTCTTGTTTTCACTATCACACCAATTTCACATTGCAACAACAACAACAATTAATGCATCTTCTTCTTCGATTCACTTTTTGATTCTCCCAACTTCTTCTTCTCTCTCCGCCCATGGCGACGCTGACAGCACCTCCGTTACTTCCTTTTGCAAGGACCGCAACCACGTCCTCCACCAAGAAGAAGAAGAAGAATCATCAGAAGCAACGCGCGCTGGGAAATTTCGGTCAATTCGGGCAAGTGCTTCGCAAGGACATGGATTTCCTCAAAAGAGGGTTTAACAATGGCGTTGCGTGGGCTAACGACGCTTTTCGTATTCCTCAAATTACGAAGAAAATTGATCATGTTGTTTGGCTTCGCAATCTTGAAGACCCTCATGCTTCTGAATTTTCCAACCCTTCTTGGCCAGAGCCTTGGTACCCAGGTACAATACCAAGATTTTTATGTATGCTTAATTTGGTGTGAAGATTGCTAATACGTAATGTGTAATTGGCTTGAAATAGTTGTGGGTCTGAAGGGGAGTGCCAGTTCTTAAATATTTGGTGAATGTAAATCAAATTACTTTTATAGATCTCTTCATTGAGTGTAGATTACAGGGTTTCCAATTGCGCTCTTGTAAATTAAGATAATGAAAATATCACGCGTTGAACTGCATAATAGCACCATAATCAGAGATATGGTTTATTTATTCCTTCTTTGTCTTCCAGGACTGTCAGGAGTAGATTTGCTTATGTCTGATTTGAAGGCCTTAGAAGCATATGCTCGTTACTTCTATCATTCATCTAAGATTTGGTCAAAGCCACTGCCTGAAACTTATGATCCCCAACATGTTGCTAACTATTTCAATGCCAGGCCCCATGTTGTGGCCCTTCGTATGCTTGAGGTAATTGGATTGATAACTTGAACAAAAACATGTTATGTTTCATTTATGAATCCGCCCCTTTCCTTGATAAATAATTAGGTAAAGCTGTGGAAATTTCCCTTTTAATAGCTTAAAATATTCCTTTTATCTTAAGTCACAATACCTCTATTCTATATCACCTACTTTACTTAAATATGATTTTTGTCCTGTGATCCGTTTTACATATCAGCAGAAGATAATTGTGTTCTGCAGATAAAATGGCATATAATTATATATAGGGAAAAGGCTTAGGAAGAATTGTAGGACCAAAGTGTCTCATACAGGCATTAATTGTTTCTTTCTTTTCTTAGTTTCATAAGAAATAACTATACATTAGTCTAAATTGATACTACTTAATGCTTGCCTTATTAAAAAAATAATTTGATTTAATCCCCTGTATATGAAAAGTTCCAAGATTTTGTTTTCCGGGGGTCAACAATTGCAAGTTGAGATGAGTTTGAGCATTTAGGGGGTCAACATTTGCAAGTTGAGATGAGTTCAAGCATTTGTATATTAAGAATTGATCTTTTACAATATGTATCTGTTTTGAATGTTGCAATACAGGAAAGATTTTAATCATTGTATGAATTATTGGCAAGTGTGATAGATAGGCTCTAGTTGCCCCACTTATAGGATATGCTAAATTAAAGGTCGAATGTTTTCTGATGTATTGAACTCAATTGTATCTTCATATGGTATGATCTTTGTACATGTGTTGGCACCTATATGACCAATATATCTTATTTGAATGCATGTAACGTTTAATACTTTTTTTACCCTTGTATTTTCTTTTATGGATAAGGTTTAAAGTTTTTAATTTAAATTTTTTTGTCTTTGTTATTCAAGGAAACATGCTAAAGATATTCCCTATGCTATATTGCATGTGTACATAATGTCTCATATCAGCTGGATATAGGTTAAGTATGCTTTTAATAATTTTGCCAATCCTCCTATAGAAATGTTCATTAACCAATTCAACACAATGCAAAGTGCAAACATTGAAAACAAAATCAGAAATATGGAAAAGCCAATTTTTTTAGTTGGATTGGATTTGTTTTCATATCTAATTCTGAAATCTGTTCCTGTCCTATCAACAGATAACTTACATGCTTGTGCACTGTGCAAACACTAACTTATAAAATTGCAATGTTGCCATACCTGCATACAACAGCAACAACAGCCAAACTTTTTTCACTAAATGATTTTACTAAAAATGAATTAGTCAATGCCATAAACTCCTGTCATGTATTAGATCCACAAATAGACATTTGCTTCTAAATCTTTCTTAATGGTTTGACCTATAGTTTTCCTTGGTCTCCCTCTACCTCTAAATATTTGACTATCCTCCATTTGTGCTACTATTTGTGTTAGACCTCTCATTTAAGAAAACTGACTTTGGTTAGTTTTGTAGCTACTTATGTTTTTAAGTAGCAATTATCATATTATTAGGAGCAGTTATTATTTATTAATTTTGTGTGTTTATGTTTAGAATAAATAGGAGAAGATAGGGGAGAGTTTATTATATTGGAATTATTGAGTGGTTAGTGGGAGAGACCCAACTCTTGAACTTTGGGAAATGGAGAGGTCAAGTAAACTTTGGAGAACAGTTAATTTAGTGTTATTATGTGTGTAATTCTATGTATTGGAATTCTGTCTGTATCAATAAAAATCAGAATTTTTCCCAATTCTATTTTGTGAAGAACCAGTTTTTATCAACGGGTATCAGAGCTATTCTAATCCAGGAAGATTTTGCGGGTGTGCTGGAAATTTTGGCATGATGATGGCTGCAGATTTGATTCCAATATTTGATGGAAGGGAGGCCTATTGGTGGGTAATTCCGGCAGAGCAATATTTTAGGACAAGAAGAATGGATGAAGAGATGGAACTTTGGAGGGTTGTTGCATTTGCATTTAAAGAGGATGCTCTTGATTGGTGGATTTCTTGGAAAGAGAGCAATCCAAATACTTTTTGGTGGGATTTTTTAAAGGCCATTCTTAGGAAATTTCATCCAGACGTTTGGGATTGTCTTCTGGACTAAAAGAATGAAGAACAAGAAAACCATGGCGTATATGAAATTCAAGATGAGAAGCAAGAACAAATAGCATCTCAAACTGAAGGAAAGATCTGTGGTGAAGTTGACGACACACATCCAAAAATACCGTGAAAAAGAAGATTGTACGGTGGATACCAAATTTGATCGTGAGGGTGGCAAATGGAAGAGTATGGATTCATTGACGGGTGCCACTGAAGTAAAGGTCCGGAGAAGTGATGGAGAGTTGGACATTCCATCAGAGGCATTAGGCTTCCTACCACGACCAAAACCTTCAAATGAAGGCTTGGCAATTTACTCAAAGGAAAGGTTGGTGATAAAAATTATCCTATTTCTTGTACAACCCAATCTTTCTGCTTCAAGTTATGGCGTCCAAGAGCATCCATTTTTTCTCCGGTGCATTTCTTTCACCTTGAGGGCAAGGTGAAACTTTAGGAGGGAGTATTGTTAGACCTCTCATTGAAGAAAACTGAACAAACTGACTTTGGTCATTTTTTAGCCGTTATGTTTTTAAGTGGCATTATTATATTATTAGTAGCAATTTAGTGGCATTTGTTATACTATTAGGAGCAATTACGTTATGTCAAGTCTTTGTGTTTATGTTTAGAATAAATTGAGGATGATAGGGGAGAGTTTATTACATTGGAACTATTGAGTGGTTAGTAGGAGAGACAACTCTCGAATATTTGTGGAAGGGAGAGGCAAGGCTCTCGATACCTTGGAGAACAATTATCCTAGTGTTATTATGTGTGATTTGTGTGTAATTCTATGTACTGTAATTCTGTCTGTATCAATCAAAATCTGAAATTGTCCCGATTCTATTTTGTAAAGAACCGGTTTCTATCGTATTCTTTCCGATTATTTGAATATTCTTTCTATCATATTCTTTCTGATGATTCTATTGTTTGTCCTTTTCTAAACTTACATTCGATATATTGTTTCACATCTACACACATTCAAACACTAATATAAGATAAATCCAAATAAGTTCTAAATAAACTTTTACATTTGCCTTAATTGTAAGATTCTAGCAATTGATAATGGTATAAGATGTTTACTTTAATATTTTTATTATCGAGTATTTCATGTTTATTTACTGTCTTTTAAAAGGACAAAACAAAAACTGATCCATATCAGACTGCTGTAGATTTTATTTGAATTAAGTTTAGAACAAAACTGATTGAATGGTAAAATAAGTCATAGAATGTGTGGGTTGGACCTAATTCGACGCTACAAAACCGGCTTGTAAGGTGAAGATTACTCCCACATATAAACTCGTGCTCAAGTCATATATTGTCCGATGTGGGACTCCTAACAACCCCTCTCATGCCCAGGAATTGGGGCTGGAGCGTGGAACTAAATGGTGGGTGGCCCAATGGATCTTAGATGAGGCTCTGATACCATCTTAGAATGTGTAGGTTGGGCCTTAACTCGAGCCTACAAAACCGGCTTGTAAGGTGAAGATTACTCCCACATATAAACTCATGTTTAGGTCATATATTGTCCGATGTGGGACTCTTAACAATAAGAAAACTGGTGGGATTGAACCAAATCGGTTTTCATCTCAATATTGATCCATTCAAATCCTTGTACAATTTTCCGAAACCTTCTGGAATCAAGTTAGATGAAGTCCATTCTCAATTCTAACACGGCATCGAAGTTTATCTCGCTCCTGCTTCTCAAATTTCATACTCCAAATGTCTAGTTTTGGGTGTAAGGTGAATGCATCAAAATCTCACATCAGTTGGATTTATAGTTAAAGCACCCCTATAATGACTTTGACAATCCGATAGGGGTTTGGGTATTATGGGGTGCCCAAGCCCGACACCAAGTAGTAAGGGATGGTTCCCCAAGTCCTTGGATCTTATCGGTTGATACTAGAGTTGGTTGTCAATGGCTCGAAAAGGGCTACCTAAGGAGGGGCTGACTGGAGCCTGAGTAAAGTGTAGTAGAGTAAAGGCCTCTAAAGCGTCGCCTCTCAAGGCTGGTGCTATGGTAGGGACTTCGGTATTATAGGGTATCCAAGTCCCATGCTGAGTAGTATGGCATGATTAGTGGAATATTTAAGTGCCTTGGTTCTTCCCTTTTGATAGCTAGCTTATAAGGAAGGGTTCCGCATGTGCTTGAATAAACTTTCCCCACGAGTTAGCATTTCGTGGTCGAGTTAGACTAAATTTTTTTCTCCATTCTTATTTTTCATAATCAACTTCACATAACGGAAAAATTGAGCCTATATTTCATTTTTGATAGATGTGTTTGAAGCTGATGATGAGATGCTTTCTTGACTCTATCTTGAACTCCATCCTTATTGAGTTATTTTTCATTTTGGAAGGTTTTTTCGTCCTTTGCCTCTGCCGCGGTCAGTATTCGAGCTTCAGGGCTTAGAAAGTTGCTACCACTAAATGCAGAAGAGGACGTGGATGATAAAACATCTGAATATAATTTTGGCTTGGTGTTAAAGGAAACAATGCTTAATCTCGGCCCCACCTTTATAAAAGGTAAGGAGTTTGATCTATTTGACATATTAGTATAAATGTCGAGTATTATTTATTATCATCATTTCACTATTATTCTTTATTTTTCATTTTCTTGCCATGCCTATCACTTCAAAGGTTTTCTGTTGGGGCTTTCCTTTCTCTTCTGCAGTAACAAGATTTCCAATATCCTTTTTACATTCATTTGATTGACGATGCAGTTGGTCAGTCGCTTTCCACAAGGCCGGATATCATCGGTGTTGAGATGTCCAAGGTTAGATTAAAATTGTATCTTTATTGCCACTTCTTTAGTGCTGAACATTTTTTTTTTTGCGATGACCTTCGAAAGATATTGGCAGTTATTTGTCCTGGTAGGGATGGTATCTTATTAGAGGATGATAATATGTGGCTATGTATCAAGTTTAATGGTGACTGCTGCACTTCAAATATGTTCTTTAACTATCTGTAATACTGGTTTGCACGGAAAAATGTATTTGTGTTCCTTTCATGTGTTCTATCTGCATTTTAAATGAAACTTTTGGTGGTCGGGTGGTACATTGATTGTAATGCTGCTAAAGTTTGAATAACTTGATTGGCAATGTATGTATATATAATTTGATTGCGTTCTTATTGTAGGCATTGTCAGAATTGCATGATCAAATCCCTCCTTTTCCCAGGACTGTTGCTATGAAGATTCTTGAGGAAGAATTAGGAGCTCCTCTGGAATCATTTTTCAGTTACATTTCTGAGGACCCTATAGCCGCTGCATCATTTGGTCAGGTACTTTTTACTATACATTATAAAACTATTATTGGATGCACGTGGCTACATTTATTTATAAGTGTTGGTGTGTTGGTTTATGTCTTGCTCACTAATTTGATTACAATTCCCAGGTTTACTTTGCCCGTACTATTGATGGTGTTAATGTTGCTGTAAAAGTTCAGCGTCCTAATTTACTTCACGTGGTGGTGCGGGATATCTACATTCTTCGTCTTGGGGTTTGTATCGACTATTTATCTCAATTGGATTTTTAACCACATTATTCTATGCTACATGGAATTCTTAAACGAGTGTATATTAACCATCTCAGTTGGGGCTGCTGCAAAAGATTGCCAAGAGAAAGAGTGACCCTCGCCTTTATGCTGATGAGCTCGGGAAAGGTTTTGTTGGTGAATTGGATTACACTTTAGAGGCTGCAAATGCATTGAAGTTTCGGGTAATAGCTGACATATCAGTTGGAGCTTAATTATGTTTACATTTTGATGAGTTCTAGAAATTGAAATTTTTTGGCACATTGATGAAATCTTTTATTAGAGTTTAAACTTATATTGTGATCCTATGTCGAATTGGTCAGTGATTAACACTTTGCTCTTTCAATGGACTTGTTATTGCCGCATGCAGGAAGTTCACTCATCATTTTCTTTCATGCAAGTGCCAAAAATATTTTTACTTTTAAGTAGAAAGAGAGTTCTGACCATGGAGTGGATGGTTGGTGAAAGTCCAACAGATTTGTTCTTTGTATCTACTGGAGAGGTCTCTGAATATTCAGATAGGCAAAAAGTAGATGCAAAAAGGCGTCTTCTTGATCTGGTACATAAGCATAATTGCAATTATCCGTTTTTGTCTTTATACTGTGTAAAACTTAAATATCTTGGATGTTTGATTTTGATAATCTCCTGTCAATTGGATTACGGTAGGAGTCAATGGTATTATTGAATATGATTACTAATTTTCCAATATAATCACTAGTATTACATGAAAAAGACACTTTTGACTTTCTCATACTAGAGAGTTTCAGTTACAAAACAATATGGCTCTGGATCTCGATCTGGATTGAGGTAGTCGTAAAATTTCTTCAGAAACCTCATTAGCTTATTTAACCCTTATTATCCAACTGAAAATTGTTCAATCAAGAGTTACCTATTCTACTAAAACCTCACCCTGTCTAGTCACTAGTGTATCAGTGTGGGATAATCTGAGTGTTTCACTATTATGAGAGCATCATATTTGATGAATGTTTACTTCTATTACACATTGGTTGATTCAGGTCAGTAAAGGTGTTGAAGCAACATTAGTGCAACTCCTTGAAACAGGCTTATTACATGCTGATCCACATCCTGGCAACTTACGCTACACTTCGTCAGGACAAATAGGGTTTGTGTCCTTCCTTTTCTTATCCAATCTGAATAATTGTGGCTTTCCTTGGTTAAAATAATATAAAAGATTTTTCTAACTTACTTGTGTGATAGGTTTCTGGATTTTGGGTTGCTCTGTCAAATGGAAAAAAGGCATCAATTTGCTATGCTGGCTTCAATAGTTCATATAGTAAATGGTGACTGGGCTTCCCTTGTCCGAGCTCTGATTGATATGGATGTTGTGAGGCCAGGGACAAATATCCGGCTTGTTACCATGGTATAATACTTGTTTCTCAGGATTTGGTTATCTTGCAATCTAATAATTGAACCAAATAATAACATTCTTATATAAATAGTTTTTGTTGTTTAGACTCCATCCTTTTGAAACATATGTTCACAAATAATTTTCTAAATCTCTATTCTCTATTTTATTTTCAGGAACTGGAACAGGCCTTGGGGGAAGTAGAATTTAAGGATGGAATTCCTGATGTGAAGTTCAGCAGGGTGAGAATTATCTTTAACAAGATATATGTAGTGACTGAATGTTGATGTTAGATTCTTAGAATTTGGCTTTGACCTAAATTAACCATTCAAAACCGACTTGTAAGGTGAGGGTTGACGTTGTCCAAGCTATATAAATACTACACTTACCATATCTCTAGGCAATATGAGACTAAATCCACCATTTCACACCCAACAAAATAGAGGTGTTGAAGGTTGCATGAAGGCAACCCAAATGCCACAATTAGGCGACTAGGGGCAAGCTGCAATGAAGGTGAACTTTCCAACATAGATGAAAGTGCAAACCACTGTCTGTGAATGTGGACAGATGGATTAAAAGGACTCAATTATTTTGAATTAATCTTGACTGAAATAGAATGGATTATCCTCTACTTGAAACTAGCCCTAATTAAAAAAATTCAGTGCTAGCAACACTCACTCTTTTCAATACTCACTCTCTTATTGAGTGATATATATATGTGATCCCACCAATTAATGTGTCATCCAATTCCAAAATGGTGGGACTCACATGCATTTCATCAAATGACAGAGCGAGTGTTGAAAAGTGGGTGTTGCTAGCACTAACTCAAGTCTCACAAAACCGACTTGGTAAGTGAGAGATGTCTCTCCCACTTACAAACTTTTTTGAGGTCCTATCTCATCTCTAGAAAGTAAGGAATAATATTTTCTTACTTTTTTTTTTGATAATTATATTTTCTTACTTTATTTCTACATTATGAAATTGCATATATTGGAAAAAGGAGTTACAATAGAAATAATGACTAATAAATTAAAGACAAAAAATGTCTCATAATGACTAAAAAAGACAATAAAAATAAAATAAAATCAAAGAGAATCAATTTTGGTTTTCTTTGATTCTTCTACATCATCCAATGTGGGACTCTCAACACAGATCCTTCCTCACTCCTCACGCCATGACTGGACATATCATGGATAATGAAAATTAGATAGATGACTGTCTTATTCTTCTCTTTAGTTTCTGAATTTTTCTGAATTTTCCTCAAGGTTCTGGGAAAGATTTGGTCTGTAGCATTCAAGTATCATTTCCGTATGCCAGCATATTATACACTTGTCTTAAGATCCTTAGCCTCCTTCGAAGGTAAACTGTCTTCACAACATCTACTTATTTCTTGGATTCTCATATCTATTTTCTTACTGATAACTTATATTCAATACTACCTCCGCTTTTTATTATAAGTCGTTTTGGACTTTTCACACGTATTAAGAAAAGTAATAATTGTTGTATGAAAATGAGAAATTATAAAGTTTTTTTACAAAATTGTCCTTCATTAATAGCATAGGGAAGATACATTTACATAATTGAAAGGAGAGAGTATAATAAATATTTAAGGGTAAAATAGGAAAAATAGCATTAATTATTCATTGGTATCGTAAAGTAACTTATATTGTGGTACAATTTTTTTTCCAAAGTGACTTATAATAAAAAACGGAGGGAGTATGTATGTATCAACATGTAGTAATTTGAAATATTTATATTGAATTATGTTTTTTCTTCCCTGTCTTCCATTCATAATTTGCTTTAGAACAATTTCAGGTTTGGCTCTAGCTGCAGATAAAAACTTCAAGACTTTTGAAGCTGCCTACCCTTACGTTGTTCGGAAACTTCTAACAGAAAACTCATCTGCAACAAGGAAAATATTGCATTCGGTATTGTATATTTACCCATAGACAGCGGCCTTTGAGACAGTAGTCCACTGAACAGAACTGTAACATGTTATAATCTATTTGCAGTTGCCTATTGGTGATAAAACACCAGGAAATAGGAATAGTTCCTGAGCCCTTTTCCACAAAAGCTGAGGAAAAAAAATATTTTTCATAAAATATTAAATATATTTTTTATTCAAAATTCTTAAGTCATGTTTTTTTCAACATTTTCATTGCACCAATCTTTGTAGTTTTTCATATTTATCTATATTTCAATTACTATCAAGACTCTATTATTTGATCCTTAAACATGTAATGCTAGCTGACGTATGATATGTTATTCACTTTTTTTAAAACTTTGTTTCTCCTGTTCAGGTTCTTCTAAATCAAAAAAAGGAGTTCCAATGGAAAAGGCTTTCCATGTTCTTGAGGGTGGGGGCAACTAAGTATGTCAAAGTGGCATGTCATGTAGTTTGCCCTGCATGAAGTAGCTATTTTTATTTCCTATCTTCTATATTTTATGTTATCCATATTTTTAGAATTTTAATCAGGAATTTTAATTCAAACTCTCCGATCTATATTTATCTATTTAACAGGATCTATCTAACTCGGTGGTTTCAGTTTCATCTGCAGACTATGTCTAATATTGTATGCAACTTACTAGGATATAGTATTTTGGGGAATATTAGGTTTAGTTCACTCAATTAGGAAGAACAGAAAAAGTCAGAACTCATATCATATGTCAATATTACTACTCATCTCAAAAGCATCTACACGAACTCGCACAATCATGTGAAGCAAAATTCACTAACATGCTCAAAGATTCAAATATCAATTGCACCAATATATACTGAAAAATTTCAAGGGACATTTTTATGAATTACGCCGTTTTATCATGAAAGTTCTTTGACCACTATTAGTAATACATCATCTCTTACTTCTGATACCTTGTCAGGAAAGCCTTGCAACTAGCAGCTTCGAGTAGTGTGGCTTCCTCTAAACATTCACCAAATAAGGCCACTGGTACATTTGATGTTGCATACTTGATCTTGAAGCTTTTACCATCCAAAGACGGTGCTGCTTTAAGAAGACTTATCATGACTGCTGTGAGTTCCTATAAATTCTTAATCTTGCTTCATTTTTGTTCAAGATTATGTCAGCATTCCTCTTGATTATCTTTGTTGTTCTTTTCCGTTTGGCTTTTTCAAAACGTAAGATATGAATATACAATTTGTTTATTCGTTGTTTTATGGTCAATACTTAATTTGCATGGAATGAACAGGATGGAGCATCATTAATCAGAGCAATGGTTTCAAAGGAGGGAAAGACCATCCGCCAACAACTTTGCAAGGTCATAGCCGATGCGCTGTGCCAATGGATGATTAAATATTTTGGACAAGGAGTTACAGACACTCAGTATCCCATGGTGATGTTGGCCAATGGACCTAGCAACAAAGAATCTGGTCGATCTGCTCGATCATCCACACCTTCATATGACGATTATAACTCCATCTTTAGAGATCGGCGACTTCGGGTGATATTTTCAAAGATTGTGAAATCTGCAAGCAGTAGTAAAGTATTGATGCTGCGGTTCTGTTGGTCTTCCCTTGTTATAATGATTTCAGCTTCAGCTTTGGCTTGCCACAGGGTTGTTCTGTCTCTCTCTGAGGCTTACTTGGGTCCGATATTCGATGCACCTAAGCGCAAAAAATATGCAGTCAGTGCATGATATATTCTTAGGATATTGTCACTTTTCAAAGAAAAGAAAGGTGTTATAGCTTTGAAGGCAATTTAGTGCCAGGAAGATGAAATATGAGTATAGGATAACATTATCTTTTGGTTACAGTTACGGTTGGTATATGTGTAATGGGGGTACTCTGTATTATGTGGGCTGATATTGTGCAGTTAAGATCCAGGTACCCTATAAGTATGTACAGTTTCATGTAAAGTGCTACATTTATTTATCTATTTTAGAATAAAGATAGATTATTAATATTTGAATAGCTAGTAAAGTGAGAAAATCTAGAGTTTATATGATTTAATTTAATTTGTATGTGGGTATAATATCAACCATTGATTTGTTTGTTTGGCAAAAGGTAATACATAGTCTACATGTTAGCTAGTAACAGATGACTAATCATGATAAAGTGAGATATGACGCTTCAAAAGTTTGATACATTTTGGTGATTTTAATTTATAAATATTGTTTACATGTTCCAGTCAATAGTTTCAATCTTGTTTACACGACCGTGTATATCACAGTTTAAATTAACAATGCAAAAGGTAGAACCAAGTAATGTTAAGAAGAGTTTACACCATAATTCTAAAAAACTCAAACTTATAACAGGACCTCATCTACGATACCACGCTATAGGGATGAATTGGCGTGGTTACTCTACGTCTAGGGTGGGCACCAAAATATGAAATCAAACAAAGTAAAGGCGTGAGGTAAAACCATAAAGTTTATGTTTCGTTGACTTACATAGTTACATGGTTGTGTAAAAACAAATAAACTTAAATAAATTTTTATATATCTATGGTGATGTTTGATATAGTGACCTTAAGAGCATGTCACATTCTTCAACATAAATATGATGATTATAGGTGCGACAAACTCAATTCTTCAACATAAATATGATGATTATAGGTGCGACAAACTCAATCTAAAGCAAGTTCTTTTCTGGAACCTTGAAGGAGAAGACCTTGTCTTAGAATCTAGTTACTAGTACTTATCTAAGAAATCAATCCACTAATTCTTGACAAGAAAATATCACAATGTTTCCACCACGAGCCTTTTCAACGTGATATAGGGGTACTCTGAGCCATTACATGAGTATTTAGCACGTTTAAGTAAAGTCATAAAAAAAGGTAAATCTTAACCAAGAAATGTATATATGAGCCTTTTAAAATTGGTTAAAAGTCGAACACTTCAACGAGTCCCTCCTCAAAAAACCCATAGATTCAATGGAAGATATAACGACAAGAGAATAATGCCACATAAAAGGCGGGGAAAGTAAATCAGAAAAATGGGCCATAGATTCCAAGGAAAGAAACTCCGGCAGGCCAGAACCCTCCATAAGTTATATAGAATATTACACACCATTAAATATAAAATGAGAACAATTATGGCGAGAGGTTTATCACACAAGAGCCACTCCCGAACCCCTAGGCCAAAGATGACAGGTTATGGGAATGGGCCCAACAAATGGTGCAAGTTCTAAAAGGTGAAATGTCATCATACAATTGACTTAAACTATCTAAAAAAAAATTAGATAAATCGTCTCATTCAGGAAGATCACCTTATAAGATACGTTCAGGGTACATAATTATGTTTGGAATAAGAATTCGATCTTCTGACCATGACAAATCCCAAAGCCAACAATCTAGAATGGACAAATTTTTTGAAAGAAGGAAGAAATGGGTTGGTTCACCATTCCCTTAATACCATAGCGGGAGGATTCACTAGAGGAGGTGAGGCGAGTTCCTCACGTAAAAGATATGCTCTTTAGGTGAGGCACATCAATGACTCGCTTGCAAAATTCCATTGTCTTCTGCTCTCAAGGTCACTTTCTCCCATATAGATATCTTTGGGATCTTACCCCATGAGGACGACCTCACAGTCATTATCTTTAAAATGTTTATCTAGAATATAAAACGAGTCCTCACAGACCTGGATAACTCTACTCATATTCTTTACAAGGATGCTTTTGAATGGTCGAAGTTATACCTTGAACACATAGTTCATTTCAAAGGCTGCATATTATAGTTCTTTGGAGAACAAATGCAAGTCCCATGATACATCTCCGTCAGAATGACTTTTAGAGTAGGAGACAACACAAAAACTATTAAAGTCAAATATCTCATGATAAATGCTCATTCATTTTACAACATAATCATTGGACACCCAACATTCAAAATTCAAGAAGTGACCTTATTTGTGCTTTACAATACCTTGAAGTACCCTCTTAAAAACAAGCAAGTGGAAGCCGTGAAATGATATAAGGAGATATCTAGGAAATATTACCAGGATAACCTCAGAATAAAAAGGTTGTGATGACCAACAACCCCCCACAAATATCAAGTATATGCAACATTAACTGTATGGACTTTGAACCAAGAGAGGAGTACATAGATGAAAGGATGATCCTCATCGAAGAACTTAAAGAATTCTAAATAGGAACTCCATTATTTTCAAACCACAAAACTAGCACATCCTTAATAGAGACAAAGGAAGAAGAATTAGCCCGTATGCTCCAGAAGAACATACATTTATTATCCTGAAGCCCCTCTGATATGCCGGTAATAGACGCATATGTCATCTATCACCACTTTGCCCTAAACACTATCATCAAGCCCGTCATACAAAAAAATGAAAAAATGGGGGATATATATATATATATATATATATATATATATATATATATATATATATATATATATATATATATATATATATATATATATATATATATATATATATATATATATATATATATATATATATATATATATATAAAATAGATAGAGAAGAAAAGTCGTTAATGAAGAAGTGAAGAAGCTAAATGATGCATTCTTTATAAGAGAGCTAAAATATCCCACATGCTTGGCCAGTGTTATGATGGTTAAAAAATACTCGGGAGAATGGAGGAAGTGCGTGAATTTTTTCGACCACAACCTAATGTGTCCTAAAAACCCTTACCACTTGCCTAACATAGGTAGATTTATTGACGACGTCTCATGTTACATTTTCCTAAGTTTCATGGATGCATACTAATGGTACAACTAAATCAAGATGAACCCCCTAATTAAAGTAAAGATCTCCATCATGACTAGCACCTGCAACTATTATTACAAGGAGATATCCTTTGTCCTCAAGAACCCTAGATCCACCTACCAGATATTAGAAGACAACGTGTTCTAAAAAAATATACAAAAATAGTTGCATGTATACATATAAGGTATGTGGTGAAGACTCCAAAAGATAAAAACCATTATGATGACCTAGAAGAAATCCTACGACCTGTTAGGAGATACAACTTGCGTGTAAACCCTATAAAATGTTCCTTTGAGGTCCAAGAAAGGATTTTTTTTTTTGAGATTTATGCTAATAAAGAGAGGGAATAAGGACAACCCAAACAAATTCCAAACTATAATCAACATGCAAAATCGAACAACGATAAAACAAATCCAACAATTGATAGTGTAGATAGTTACCCTATCTCAATTTCTATCATGTGCAAGTGACAAGGCTTTCCATTTATTTGCCACATTGTTAGCTCATAAATTCGACACCCACAACATATTGGCCTTATGGGCCAAAAATAGATTGAACAAATCTAAGTTGGAAATACTTCGACAGATGGGAAAATACTTAGAGAAATTTCTAAGTTAAAGTTGATCTTCGACCAAAAGGTTCTTGCGGCCTTCGACTGAAAGGCCTCTGTGGACTTCGACTAAAAGGAAACCTCGTATCAGCAATAAGTGATTTTGAATCTGAAGAAAGGAGGGAAAAGCAGTTCGCCTGGCAGTTGAGGAAAGAAACATGGCATGGAGATAAAGGTCGAAGCACATGCAGAGGACACTTGTCCTCATCTTAGAGCAAAGCAACTCCTCGACAGTTACCTAGTTCTAGTATAAATATAGGAAGTTTATGTAGATTTTCGGGTGTTCAACTAACTGTACAAGTCATTCAATACTATTTGAGTACCCGCTGCGTGAGAAAGAATACTGAAAATGTACGTTTGAAACACCACATTTTATAATCAAAGTCTTTTACATTCCTCTTTACATTCCTTGCCTTTTATCTTACTTGCAAAAATCTATTTTCCCTTGCATTTTACATGCACTTTTTACCATATTTCTGCACTTAAACTCTTCTCAACCCCTTTTCTACTTGCTTTCTACACTTAAACTTATCTCAAACCTCAACCTTTCTCAGTCGAACATGCGTTCTTTATTAATATTAGCATTTATATCCAAACAACACCAATAATTAGCATATGTCCTAGGATCAAACTGATCGATCCTGCGAGTAACCAAAAAATTACCCTTTTTGGAAGATCAGCGGTTGTTTACCAATCAACACGGCAAACAAATTGGCACACCCGGTGGGACGTTGCTAATTTTTATTTGCTTGTTTATTAACATAAATGCTTTGCATAATTTCTTTTCTTTTACAAAGTGTTGTATGTTATTAAGAAGTGGTAAATTAACCACCAACGAGTGTACAACTAGGAGGAAAAATAGTGAAAGTGAAATGGCTAATCAGCCAAATAATGGAGAAATACCTCCACCAATTACTACGGGAACAACGATTATACCATCCGTTAGTGAAACTATCTCATCAACCATTGGTTCAGCACCAACGTCAACAACAACTCAAACAGGACCAATACTTTTGTATGCAGGTCCCAGAGGTCCATTAGGAACACCCCCACCAAGGGTAAATCCAGGATCTCGACCATACGTTCCCCCAGGATTTTCGACAGTCTGGATGGGTCAAGACCAGCCTTATGGCATACCAACTATTGAAATGGCTAGTCTTATGAACGATGCGTCTACATTTTTAGAACCTCTGGTAAGTGCATCTTTGCCATTACAGGGATCTGGAACTGGTATGGAGAATTTGGGTAGAAACCAACTCTTAGGAGGGGTATCCCATGCAATACCAAGCCTCACAAATGCTTCTGCATCAATTTTGAGGCAACAAATGGATGAAAGCAACCATGA